GATGACACTGAATGATACTGGTTTTAGGGGCTCTATGTCACTGCTTCAATATCCTTGCCTTTACTTGAAATACAAAGCTAGAAACTGCATGAACATTGAGACAAACCTGTACCTCCAGCCTCAAGAAATGAGCCTCCTGGTTCAGAGCAGGAGCACATTATCAAAAGACTGAGAGAGACAGTGAAAAAGGTCGAGAGAAAAGTTATGACTTGATGATGACTTCAAAACATCTCTTTCCATAGCCAGTCTCTAACAGATGCAAAGACTGGATTATTAGGTGAAAATATTTTAGTAGGAAAATATACAATTATCTTCCCAGCCCATCCCACTTCATACATGCACTAGGTTGCATCCTTGTCTCTGAAAAGTTGCTTTAGGGCATGTGAGAATGGCCTGCAAGTTGTAGTGCCCATCAGGACCCCACACACAGGCCCCTTGGTCAGTCCTACAGCCGGGCATCAAAATGCTATCAGGCAAACAAAGTGCCAAATATATGTATGGCTCCTGCAGGGTGTTAGTAGGCTAGCCAGAACACTGATAAACTCATGACCTCCTTCTAGCTTCCTTTGCAAGCCAGCCCTAATAGCTGAAATTGGCTGCAATCCTCAACCATAATATTTTATATCCTTTCCAAGAAATGCACAATTAACCGTGATAGCTTTGGATGCTCAAAATTCAGGGGAACTGGTGCTGCTATTGCCTGGGCTGTGATTCCATCATCTGGTAGACTCTAGATCAACGGTTCTTAGCATGTGAACCTCTAAGATCATTAATTAATTAAGACAAAACAAAACAAACCCCAGTAAATGTCAAAAGTTAACATAGGCAGAAAAGCAAAATTGCACCTGGGAAGTAAAAGAAACTTCGGAACAATAAATCATACCTATTGTAACAAATACCTACCAATTTTGTCTTTGCACAGCCAGGGAAGATTCAAATTCTTAGGATAAAAGAGTAGAATATGGTACACAATTTTAGAACTGCAAACTTTATGCAGCCTTGAGCTGGTAATACGACTTCCTCAGAGGGCAAATAACTTATCATTAGAGGTGTAGAGAGCTCTATGTCCAAGTGACAGGGTTCCATCCAACTAAATAAGAAAATGCTGCCAAATCTATTTCTATAATCTCAGTGATCTCATATGTTTTCATTAAACATATTAAACAAAATGAGAGATGAAAAGTGGCCTATTTATCCTATGCTGAAGTAATGAGAGGGCTTAATTTTTTAATATTTTCAAAATGAATAGTACACTAGAGGTATACGGTATGTTTTATAAACTGCAATAAGTATCTATCAAAAGAATAATCTCACTGAAAGGTTTTCACTGTTATTCTTAGTTGTTTGCATTCTCCTTGCAGCAGGGAGCCATAATCATGGGCCTACATTTCTCTGTTCCAGACTTTGCACAAACACACAGCAAGAAACAGCCTTGTCCCACCAACTTTACTACCCAAGGTCCTATGGGCCTGAAGACAAGAACAGTGTTAACACACATTGCTGGTGTGGAGGATTAAAATCTTAAGTAAATCCAAATCTCTTAATATATTAGGGATAACATGTTCCCACCACAATGAACTTTTTGACTGCATGAGCTATGTTTGCTGCTGCTTATTACTTTATTGTTTATTAAAGAAAAAAAAAGTGTTAAAATTATCTAAGTAGCATACAAATACCCAAACAGAAGCAAGGGTGTTATGGTCAGTACACAACCATTTGCAGGAAAAATTGCTACCAACAATTCAATTTCTCCTCTATGCAAAGCTCTAAACACAGGAATTCAGCTGGATGCATCATTGCAGGCATATAGCATTTCATCACTCCATACTGCTTCTTTGCTATGAGATACTGGGCCTACACACCCAGTCCTCGTGCCTTCCTAATAATAGAATAAAATACCCTGGCAAGCTATATCACAAATTAGTCATGAGTGGTGGTTTCCTTCCTACACAAGCCAATTCCGGAACCATACCCTTCGTTTCTTCATGTTATCCCTCTGAGGTTGTACTCAAATGACAGCAACCATTTCAGTAGCCATCAATGAATGAATATTCATTTATTTCTTCACAAGGTAGGAAGACATGAAGCTATCAAAGAGAGCTGGCAGGAGTCCATAAGGCCTAATTAGGCTTTTCTAGGCTTTGGGAACTAATCCAAGAAAAAAGCCATCAAGTTCTGATGTCTTTTTCATAACATTTTCTTCAGGTTTAGATTAAATGCAACCAGTTGAAAATAAATAAATGCTTTTTTAAAATCCCTGTTTCCTTTCTCCAGCTTGCATTCCCTATGGGCACTCTGGCAGCTTGACAAAACAGTGATGAGAACAAGCCCTGCAGGGCCAAGCCTGGCTGCTGCTGAGCTCCCCAGCAGGAGTGTCCAGGAGTTGCTGAGACACCAAAGGAAGTAGCTTAAGCCCTATGAAGCTCAGCTGGTCTTTGCACTTGATTCCCCAGGTACTCCCTACAGGACACTCATTTTGGGTTTTACACAGAGCAGGAGCTTCAGCAGTGTTCAGAGTGGTGAGAGAACAAGTAGCTCTGCCAGGGCTAGAGGTGGCTTCACCAATCTCTTCCCACGGCTCCAGAACAACCTGGTGACAGTCTATGGTTTTGGGAGTGCTGGAGTTAGAGAGGTGCATATTTACCTTTACCTTTCAGAAATGTAAGATGTACTTTGAAGATTAAGACCTGGATACTTTTTTTTTTTTTTTTAAATTAAAATTATTCTGAAATTTAAAGTGATTCTTACATTTAAAGTACATAGGAACTGCCATCTTGGATAAGACCAAATGTCCTTCTAGCCAAAATTCTGTTTTCCTTTTGGAGAGGTACTGAAGGTTGAGCTAATCCTGCTACAGGACTGCCTTTTATAAAACTGAGAAACAGTTGTTAACAGCTAATTGTCACCTCAGAGCCCAGCATATCTATACAGTTAGGACTCCTGTCCTGTTTACACCCATTTATCCTCATCTACATTAACTTCCTTTGCCAGTTTGTCATCAGTTGTTCAATGTCCCAAGAACCTTTTTGCAACTCCTTCCTCCTCTACTACCTTAAAGATGCCAGCTCAGCAGCAGCAAACTTTGTGTCCTTCTTCAACCCTTTCCTACATAATTTTTGAGAACATTGACAAGTTGAGATCTTTGCAAGGATCTTCTGGTAACCTTTTCTCATTACGAAAATAACCACTTGTTAGTTATTCATTGATGAGTTTTTCTACAAACTGCTTAGTTTCTTCAGCAGTTCTGGTGAGGAACCTTGCTAGATGCCTACTGGAAACTGAGGAAGACAATACCATTTGGATCTCTCTATCCATATACTTAGGAGAAATTCAAATTACTAGCATTTTTGTAAGGCACAGCTCTTCTCCCTTATACTGCAATTAGCCACATGCATCCTAATTCTAGTCTTGAAGAGTTCTATTAATTTTCCCATTAGAGATATCAGGCATATAAATTTGAAGATGCCAGGCTCAAGCCTATTAATAATGTTCTGGAGGAACTCACTCCAATTCAAGATAAACAGAATATCACACAAGGAGTCTGAATGACAGTTTCCATCTAATGAGAAGAGCCCATAAACACTAGTGTCTGTATTCTCAACTTTGAAACATTAATCTTCTTTAATGTAGAAACATTTTGTATGCATACCTATGTATCTAAAACATTAATGTAATTGACCAACCATGCATCCCCTTATTAGGAGAAACAGTCTCCAGCCTAATTGAAGCAATGTTTAGGAATATTTTGCTATAGAGGTGACACTTAACACAATCTGACAAAAGAAATAAATTACATTTAATTTATGTAAAACTTCTAACTACAAATTCTGCCTGTTTCAGTCATTCTTTACGTTGTTTTTCCTAGTTAACTTCCTTTTCTTTTAAGTGTCAGGCTTTTAGACAAATCCTCAAACTGGGGCTTGCCAAAACTATTTCAAAGTTGTACCACAGAAGCTAATCATGAGCACAGCAGCTAAAAAACCTCTGCAACCATCCAGGAAAAACATAGATCCATCATACGGCTCTTCCATCTGAATATCAGTGTAATCTGTTTTCCTGCATTTGTATTTCCTCTGGGAAGGCAATAAACACTTGCATTTCCCAGCAATTTACCCTACCCCATCTCACTCCCAAAGCCACTCTATCACCACTGGGGAATTAAACAACAGAGAAAACATCAAGAAAAACAGCGCTGTCTGAATCTAACATTCTCCACCTCTTTGACTGTGTCAGCAGTCCTGCAGCAAAAATAGTGCTTTAGAGCATATTACTTACTGCATCAATATAAAAAAGAGCAGTTTTCAGCTTCATCTACTTGCACACTCTTCACATGGATAAGCATGCTAATTACATGCCATGCATGCTTCCATGATTCATGTATTATTTTCTATTTGATAATTAGCTCACTATAAGGAGCTTGGAAGATACACTATTAGTCAATAAATAAATAAATGTACAATGTTCAGATTGTTGCCCATTTTGGCTTTAATAACATTCTCCACAATGTTATTATTTTAATCAGGAAATATTTAATAAAATTGATAGAATTTGGTGGTTTGCTTCTAGTACAGAAAGAAAAATAGTAATGGATAATTACTCTGCTCTTTATAACTCAGAAGCATTTTGTTCTGTTTAATCACATAAAAATCTTAAGAAATTCCTACTGACCGTTAACTACTAGTAGGTTGATTTTGACCTAAAGTATCTCTGATAGAGAAAGTTAGAAAAGGGGAGATATCTCAAAAGACTGTACTGTAAAGGTGTATTTCTGAAGGATTGCCATTGTGCAAGAACTAATTATACAGGATGAATATATGAATTTACACATTTCCACCAGCTTTGGAAACGTATTGATTGCAATCGTGGTTACTGCACTTTTGAAGCCTCTGGTGACATCCAAGCCCCATCTGAGAAGCTCCCCACTTTGTCCTATATCTGGCAACATAAATGTGAACTGATAACATTCTAAAAAGATGGAAACAACAGGAAGGGAACCGCACCTTTGCAACGCTCACAGCAAGCTCCTCTCTGCTTGATTACAAGAGCACAGTCCTTGGAGAGCATCGGACACTTCTCCCTCTTGCAAGTCACTTCCTTATTCTGGAAAACAAAACAAAAATACAAAAGCTATTGGAAGAAAACCAAATCCACGGCTCAGTTCCTTGCAACTCAGAAAATAAAACATGAGTCTAGCAACTTGCCCTTCCACTTCAGGAGAGGTCCTTGTGATTCAAAACACCTTTCTTCCCTTGAAGTAACACTGTAGAAGACAGTCTCTGAATTATCCAGGAACTCAAGTAAATTGTGCTTGAACTTCACTTATAAAGTAATTCACAACAGCTACCCACTATAGTACAGAAAACATGTCTGGCTGAAGAAATCCACTTAAATGAGAACCTAGTTACATGATTTGCTTGTTAAAATATCCCAGGGGTCTTGAGGTGCTGCCCCATGAACTCAGGCATCGTTTCTCATGGTGACAAAAGGACAGACGGCTGAGGGAGAGGTGGCAACCTCAGGGAAAACAAAACTCTCTGCCTCTGCTGAAAGTCATTTTTAGCTGACTGTACCACCTAGCTACCCAGCACGTCTTCAAAACAGCCTACTGTATGCTCTACTAGAGAAGAGGCTATTGTAATTCATCTTTCTTCACAAAATGCTGAAAATTGATGAAACAACAAAAGCAGGCGGAATCACCGTACATTATAGTCTCATCTCTATCGCAAAAAGCCAGTGATGGCCAAGGCCAAAGAGTACATTGACCACATTAAGGAATGTCAATAGAGGATCTGTGACAGCAGGCAAGAGAAATATTTCGTTTATAGCCTGGATTGCACACGTGGTGTCAATCCTTCTGGTTATCCTTGCTGGTAAACAAGGGCAGAAAAAAAAATACTTTGAGTGTTTCTTTCAGTAAAATTCTGCCAATTGAAATTCCCGACTGAAAGTAGCCTTCTGAATTGACCTCCACCTATAATTAGTAGATCAGTTCATTAGGCAACACAGGTGGCCATTTACTAGACACAAGCACCCACCTTACCCAATCTTATGACTTAATTAGAGACCAAAAAATTAAAGGGCTAGAAAAATGTAAATCATAAAACTAAAGGAAAAGAAACTGTGCTTTTCAGTCCTTTTCTTTCGCTCCTTGTGGCCTTATACAAGGTGCCTGTGAAGGATAACATGCAGCTTTTATTACACTCCAGCTCTTTGTCTAAAATCAGAGGCTTATTTTCTTCAAAGTCACTGCCTGATCTGATGGCAGCTATAAAGGCACTTCAATCTTATCAGTGTTTAAACGAGGACTCACTCTCACCGAGCCTGTGTGAAATCAGCAAACGAGAATCAGTCCCGAAGGCGCAGCTGCAGCGACACAAATGCCTACTGTCAAAAGCCAGGTCACTGCTGTGTGCTGGCTGCTCTGCATCACCCCAGCATTGCAGAGCAACTATAAATGGAATTTAACTGGTAAGTTAAGCTGAATTTATGGCAGCTCTGTAGCTCTGGATTGGCACAAGGCTACGAAAGCACAGGAGTGCAACTGGCTCAACAACTTCTTTCCAGAGCAAAGGGTGAAAGCTTGATTCCCTTTACATGAACATTGCAACCCCTGACTTTGCCTCCATAAAGCCTGTTGAAGGGCAGTAGAATTAAGCTTTCCAAATCAACTACATACAGTCTGTATGTTAAAGGGTTCTGCTAAGATCTGATTCTCTTTAATAAGAGTTTGCTCAAAGAAAGATTTAATAAGCCTGGCAGCCCTGTCACCTTTATCTGTGGGAAAATCATCTGCATGGTGAAAGCAGGTTTGAAGGAAGAGCAAAATCCAGTTTAGAGTATGTTCCTTCAGAGAACACTATCTACCCAGCTGCAGCAGGCACCATGGACCTTGGAGAGATGCAAGATGCACGGTGCCCTCCTAGGCCAACCCAGCTGGCAGGACCCACATCAGAGGAGCAAGCAGGCAGCTGCCCATCAGACTCCTTCAAAGGAAGAAATCATTATTGTGGATGGCAGGGAGAAGGACAAGAAGCAGAACACAGTTCCATATTTCTTTTTGTTCCCTGATTGCCAGGAGACTCCTGGGCCAAATATCTCCTGCAGCTTAGCTTCCCAGACTGCTTCTTTCCCTCTCCCCAGAGCACTGGCTGCCTCCCTCTGCCCTCAGGTACATCCTGACATGGTTTCTTCTTGCTGGCAATACAAAATGTTCCTAAGGATGATCCCAACAAAAGCATTTAAAATAAGAGCTACTTGCTAATTACCATTCCTCACTAGAAGTCTCTTGTCCTGCCCAGACCACTTCAAGTAGAAGTCTTCTCTGCAATGGCAAGTTTGGTTTCATTGAGTCAACCCAGGAGGGCAAGTGAATTTGGATCTTACTCTTATCATCAGCAACACTGGTGGCTCAACCCCAAACTCAAGACCTGTATTACAGGTGAGGATGGAAATAACTGGAAAGAGAATGTAAAACTGAGCCAGGCTGCACAGCCTAGTCCCAGGACGTTTTTCTAGGAGCAAAGATTATTTTGGAGTTCATGTCCTGGTGCCAAAGGCTGTTTCACATTAAGCAGGTCTTCTACGTAAAGTACATTAGTGGCCCACAATGCAGCAATAAGAACTAAAAGGTCCTCCCCACTTGGAGGGTGCCTTAAACAGTGGGCTGCAGATTCGTATTTCCTTTCTTTAGCCCAGCAGACCTTGAACTACTTGCTGCTCAGTGGTTCAGCTTCAGCACAGGAGATGCTTGTTCCTGAGAGAGAGGATGCTTGTTGGGAAAGCAGAAGGCAAATCTTTGAATTGCCTCTGCAAGTGGAGGGCACCAAATCTGCATTACTGTCTCCAGTTACTGTCTTTTTACTGTCCATTACTATCTTTTTTTTTCTTTTAAGAAAAAGAGCAAGATCAGCTCTATTCCTTTGAGGAGACACTGCATTCTCCTGCCTGCAGAAATAGGTCTGTGTATCCCAGATAAATAGAACCAAACTTTACCACCACAAGAAGAAGGCTGGCTGAGCCCTAAGCAAGGTGAGATTTACAAAGCTGATATTCCTCCTCTCAAGCTGGCATTACAGGCAAGCCCCACACAGCTCTGAACTGGCTGTTTCAGATGCCACCCCGAGGTGCCTGACTCCATTGGTGCTGGAATGCTCTTCCAGGGTGTGAGGAACAGCTCAGGACTACAGCCCCACAGCCTTTGGGGCTTTTTCTGAACAAACAGACAGTAGAGCCACGATTGCAACATGCTGCCCCCACATATGTTTCCCAGAAAAATCCCTGCTGTCATAAACAGAGAGAAGTGCAGCTCAGGGGTAACGCAGCCTCTTGCTTCTTCCAGGACTGGATTTAACCCCGACATTCTGTCCACAAACCCTGTTGTTTTATCTCAATGCTGCATCTCATGGAAAACGAGGCCAGCAGATGGGGAAGAAAGGGTTAATGTACCATGCAGATCAATCATAGGACAGCAGCAGATAATACAGGGCTGGTAAATCATTGTTTAGTCTATTGCAGTCAGGCATTATCCGTTGCAGATCTCCTAGGCCCACTGGGTGTAAAAGTACAAAGATAAAACAAAGAGCAATTGTCACCAGGAGGTTGTTGGTTTTTTTCCCTTCACCCTGTCGTCTAAAACACTGCTCTTAATGTGTACTGTCCATCTGCTCCCTCCTTCCCTCTCATTTCACAAGGGCAAAGGGGAGGGCAAGAGCAAATGGACTTCAGCAACAAATCCTTTCCTTCCAAATATGTCCCCTCCTACCTCCAGTAATGGTAACATTTTGTTACTTGTCCCAGCCATATTTAAAAAGCTGCTAAGCAGTTCCATGCAGGAGAGCTGTATTACCAAACCTCCATCTGTGTTGTCAACAGCATCTCTGGGAGTTGTTGAAAGCTCTCATACTTTGATTTTTGCTGTTCTTAAAAGAAAACTTCTTAGACAGCAACATTCAGAAGCCAACAGTTAGGGGAGGGTAGGGGAGTTTTTTCCTTTTGTTTAAAGGACATGCACTCTGGCACGGAGAAGTGCAGAAGGGACACAGGGCTCACACATACATAAACCGTTTGCTAAATCAGAAACCTGGGAGCCAGTCAAAATCCATAATAGGATCCCAAGATTCATAATAAATAACTTTTAATTATAGGCCTGCACAATAGTTATTTTAAACAGATGGTTTATAGATTCACATCTGGGATTTTTTTTTTTTTTTTTTTTTTGTTAATTCAGTGCTCAGGCACAGAGGCAGAAAGGGAGAAAACCTCAGCTAAGTTTTTTATTAGTGTTGGAAAAATACATATTTTTTTAAAAGAGGTCAGGCTGATCCAGAACAATGCTGCCACAGCTGACGCAACTCCCCAGTCAGCACTCAGCTCAGCAAAGGGTTCACACAGGAATCCCAGGCTCCCTCGGCAAGGAAAATCTAGGGAAGTGCTGGAGGATCACCTCAGACTACTCTATTGAGCTCCTCAAACCCAGCTGCTGGAGAACTCAGTTTTAATGTGCCTGGGGAAAGATCAGAATGTTTTGTTGGGTGCCTGCACTGCTCCCCTCTCCCATGCCTTGCCAGTGGGAACCAAAGGTCTCTTCTTTAACTTGGCGTGCAAAGGTGATGTTAAATTCCCGTACAGGGGAGATACACTAACCAGACCTAGTACCAGTGTTACTGCTTCATGTTACCTTTACTACACACTTCTCTCAATGCAATTTGTTCACCTTCCACATACACCTCATATTTTTACCTTCCATCAAAGAACTCTTCACAAAATAGCCCACTCTGGTGAGAAAATATATCAAACTAACAGCTTTAAACTCGCATGATACAGTTAAATAAAATGCCAACATGGAAAGAAAAAACAAAACAAAACAAAAACCTAAAAAAGAAATCTGAATATTTGGCAGAGGTCTTGGAGAGGACCTGTGCCAAACCACAGCTTGGAAGCCACAGCCAACTTTCTACAGGGTTCCCCACTGGGCTCCTGCTGGCTCACAGCAGCCACCAGGAGGATGGCTCTTCTCAACCTGGATTTGGCTTGGAAGAGGGGAAAAAAAAAATAAAAATACCAGGAGTCTGCTTCACTTCTCCAAGGCCGTACCGAGGACC